CAGACCCAAACTAGCAACAGATGCAGACAAATGCAAGAAAATCGAGCACTTACTGAATGGCTGTGATATTTCACCTTGGAAATAAAAATCAGATCAAAATATTCTGTTGATTACTTTTGAGAACAGCTTCAATTTCAGCCTTAAAAGACCAGTGATGTACACCTACTGCACCATTGGACTCACTGCAGCAGTCAGCAATAGTTCTACTCATATTCAAACTACTAATTGTTTAGGCAAAAAAAATGTGAAGCACTGTTAATTATCTAGTGTAGCTGCATTTTCTGCCAGGAGTGCTCTTAGTGTGGTTTTAGCAGATAAAGTTAGACAGGACATGGACTGGAGCATCTCTCATACAAGGAAAGGCTGCGAGAGCGGGGACTGGTTAGCCTGAAGAAGAGAAGGCTTGGGGGGATCTTATTAACTTATATAAATACCTGAAGGCAGAGTGCAAAGAGGACGGAGCCAGGCTCTTTTCAGCGGTGCCCAGTGACGGGACCAGAGGTGATGGGCACAGACTGAAACACAGGAGGCTCCGTCCGAACGTCAAGAAACACTTTTTCAGCGTGAGGGTGACTGAGCACTGGCACAGGTTGCCCAGGGAAGTTCTGGAGTTTCCATCCTTGGAGATATTCAAAAGCCATCTGGACACAGTCCTGGGCAACTGGGTCTAGGCTGCCCTGCTTGAGCCAGGGGGTTGGACCAGATGACCTCTGGAGGTCTCTTCTAGCCTCAACCATTCTGGGAAGGAGAACGCTAATAACAGCTCCAGTCCAAAGAGGGAGCAGGAGTGGATGTAGGACCTGTACACACAGTACCTGATATACATATAGTCCAGTCATCTCCTTGCTCAAAAGCACGGAAGATCTGGAAAGCTGAAGATGTCTGGCAAATATGAAATTATGTCATAGGTTGTAACTTAATAGTTTATTATATCACATAAATCAAGAGTGAACATTATCTCCATAAGAACTAGATTAAAATCATCAATAAATAATAATTAGCTGTTTCCCGGGCCTGCCATCTGGTAAGCATTTTTCCTAGCCAGCAACTCCCGCTCCTTGCACTTCTCCAAAGCAGCTAGAAGATGAAGTTAGGCTATTCTTTCTTCTTTGTCAGCCCCTTTGGGAAATGTAGATACCCAGGATGCTGACAGCCACTTTCATCATCCTCCCCACCGTACCTCAGCACTCCATGTGTACAGGGCTTCACTGCCCTTCCTGCTTATTCCGAGTCTCCAGTTTCTTAAAAAGCATTAAGGAGCCAGAAGTTATTGAGACCTGCCTTCCATCCCGCTCTCAGGAACACGTGGGCTCCAAGATAACCAAATTAGTCATTCTAACCTGTAAGTGGCTGTCATTAGTATTATTATTTTCATCATATAAATTATCTTCCAGATTAGGTCATATGCATTTTGAGATCCTGTGGTTTCCTAGCAACTCCTCTTACCACTCTACATGCAGACACAATGTGCCGTTTTCTTTTCCTTTTTTAGACTCCTGATGCAGGGGTTATATTCAGTAACAGTGATCTCAGGCCTGGCCCTAATGACCTTTAGTCTGTCACGTTTGTGGGTTAAGATGGAGAAGACGGCTATCCCCCCAACCCCCAAAAGACATTTGCAGCAGATGGCCAGAAAAACATGGTCCTCCACTTGTCTGTCTTCTGTCCTGCAGACCAGAAGTACTGAGCTCTGCAGGACAGAGATGACAAAAGCATACCCACACGTGTTGAAAACTGGCAGAATTTGGAAGACCCCATCAGCTTAATTCTCCGGGTTTCTGACAGCAAAATATGTGACAGTACATAGTACGGTTCCCTGCAAAACACTGCTGCTTCAAAGCTTGCGTGGCGTGCCCTAAGTTGAAGGCTTTTGCCTCTGTAATTCACTCGTACCTCTGCCAGCCGGCCAAGTCCAGACCGATGCGTTCCAACAGGTAACACAAAACGCCTCTGGAAGGGCCAGATTTTACCGGCTTCCACACTGTGACCCGAGTCCTACACTGCTGCCAGGTGCCCTTCACGTCCTCAGTCCACTTTGCTCAGTCATACAAACCGGTGTCGAACCTCCACTGCAGATGTCAGAGGGGAGCGCTTTGCAGCCCTTAAACCCTTCGTTACTGTCAGGCACGATCAAAGTACCGCATCCCACGTAAACATACGACGTGTACCTAAATATCATGTAAAGCTTGTGTCACCTGATAGATATGCTTTCCAAATAATGCACATTTACACACAGACTTTCACATAAAAACATGAACTATGGTTTTAGAATTGTTTCTAGTCTAATGTGGGAAACTGTCTGGAGGGCCAAACCAATTTTAGGCACCAATTTTAATTAACTTCTCTAGCTGAGTTAATCAAGATATCTACCAAATTTAATCATGATTGGGGCACAGAGTTAGGTGATGTGACTATCCTAGACAGCCTTTTGTGTAAGGAGAATAGGATTAACTTCTGTCCTGCCCCACTGACATTTTTTAAAATAACAACGTCTGTTCTGAACTACAAAAGCTATGGGGCTTAATTATTCAGATAGCTAGTGGCCCTGTTTCAAAGAAGAAAAGAGAACAGACCTCAGAAACGAACCATCTCCAGTCCACATGGAGTACAGCTATTAATATTTGATCCCCTGCTAGCCTGGAGGCAAAGGGAATAATGTTCATTACAAGAGCCTAAGACTGAATCCACTTTAACAACTGACTGAACTGAAGATGAGGATGAAACCGTTCCTGCTATAGGTGAGGTGAGTAAGTTGGGGGACTCTGGTAACTCCTTCAGCAAAGGAGCTGATATTTTGTCAAGCACAGAAGGAAATGGAAGTCTTCTATGGCTGCCATCAGAGCCTCACTGTAAAGACCATCACTGGATCCGATATCCAATCCTGATTATGGAAGAGAGAAGATCATTGCGAAAAGTAAGGAAAGTCATATACTTGCAAATGGAAGAAATAATTTAATGAAAATGTAATTAACAGGAACAGAGAGACAATGCCATGTAACTGGGAAATGGAATATCCCTCAGTCCCTTATCCCCTGCTCTCTCCCCATAACGCATCTTCAATAGCAGTAGTCTCTGCATCTTTTGTTCCAGATTACAGTCTCAGGCCAGTCTTATTTGGGGCCTGGAGCAACACACCAGTTTGAGAAAGTCTTCAGAAAAACTGAAGATCCAATTTCATTTTCTTGTTGTACCCTCAGTCTACGACTTGCAAATACAACTCATGCCCCTTTCACAGGGTGACCAGATAGCCCTGCGAGATACCTCAGCCCCAGTACAGAGTAAGTTCCATCAGAGATTTCACTCTCATCTACTGACTTGGAGTCTTAACGTTAAATTGGGACAATGAAATCTAGGTGAAGTATAGAAAGGAAAGTCAATTTTGGATGTCCCCATTTTGGGGTGTCAAAAGAAGACCTATTTTTCAGACTGGTCATAGTCTGTGTCACCTAATTAAAGCTGCAAACTAGTAACCTGTACACGTCTTTGCCTGAGAAATTGTCTGCTTAAGCAGAAGCTCTTAAGGTTAAACAAATCTTTCAAATATTGAGGGCCAGAGTCACTCACGCGTGTACGGTAACAGAGCTCCTGGAATTATTATACTCTCTGGACCCACTGCAGATATTTGCCTCTTGGCTTTACTCTTCCTACAGTGTATACCCATTAGAACCTCTAATTAGAAAGGAAAATCACGAGTTCCATGTTATTTAAAAGATTATGCAGCATTTTAAAATACAGCACAATGTAATTATTTTTTAATAGCCACAGCTATTTCATGTATTTACTTTTAATGGTGTTTGAGTCATAAATTAACAGTAGAAAAGAAAAAGGCAAATGAGCACTTGACAGAGAAGCAGGCACAACTGAAAAGAAAAACTGAAACGCTAAAAACCCTGCGATTAAAAAGAAAGAGGGCCTTATTGGTTTTTCTTGCTTGCTTTATTCTGGATTGGTTTTTATCATTTAACTTGTCCACCTGGAGGTCAAGAAGGTCAGGGATAAATAAAAATGAGAAGAGTTGAACGTCTGTGTTGTTGCAGAGTGACTTCTGTCAGTTTGTCAAGAGATGCATATTTTTGGACAGTCTTACATTATCAGATACCAAAGTTAATAAACTAGCACTGCCGCTGCAGAGGACAGAAGGAACAAAAAAAAAAAACTGCACGATGATGAACATAGACTTTTTCATTAGTATTTCCCAATATTAAATTAACAACGTATGCTACTTGACTGGTAAGTGGAGCAAGTTACCAAACCTCCCTCTCAGCTCTCCTCCCTCTGAATGCCTGTTACTAGCCACTTGTACTGCAGCAGCATCTCCACCATCGCTGAGGACCGGGTGTCACCATGCTAGCTGCAGTACAAGCAGAGCAAGTGACAACACAGATGTCAGAGCACAGAGCTGAAAGACAAAGAGAGGATTAAACAACCAAGCATGTTAGAGAGAAGGTGAGCCATGAAAGCAACACACATGCAGAGCATGTACACACTGCTAGATCACATACAGTCATACCGTCCTCCTCTGCCAGGAACACGTCCAAGACAAGTGTCTCTAGTTGCTGTGCATCTCACCCCCCAAAAATGACTATTAACTTTTTAAAGAATAAACCAATCTGC